TAGACTAGACTATAGACTAGACTATAGACTAGACTATAGACTAGACTATAGACTAGACTATAGCCTAGACTATAGACTAGACTATAGACTAGACAATAGACTAGACTATAGACTAGACTATAGACTAGACTATAGACTAGACTATAGACTAGACTATAGACTAGACTATAGACTAGACTATAGACTAGACTATAGACTAGACTATAGACTAGACTATAGACTAGACTATAGACTAGACTATAGACTAGACTATAGACTAGACTATAGACTAGACTATAGACTAGACTAGACTAGACTATAGACTAGACTATAGACTAGACTATAGACTAGACTATAGACTAGACTATAGACTAGACTATAGACTAGACTATAGACTAGACTATAGACTAGACTATAGACTAGACTATAGACTAGACTATAGACTAGACTATAGACTAGACTATAGACTAGACTATAGACTAGACTATAGACTAGACTATAGACTAGACTAGACTACTATAGACTAGACTATAGACTAGACTATAGACTAGACTATAGACTAGACTATAGACTAGACTATAGACTAGACTATAGACTAGACTATAGACTAGACTATAGACTAGACTATAGACTAGACTATAGACTAGACTATAGACCAGACTATAGACTAGACTATAGACCAGACTATAGACTAGACTATAAACTAGACTATAGGCCAGACTATAGACTAGACTATGGACTAGACTTTAGACTAGACTATGGACTAGACTTTAGACTAAACTATAGACTAGACTATAGGCTAGACTTTAGACTAGGCTATAGCTCAGACTATAGGCTAGACTATATAACAGACTATAGTCTAATCTATAGTCTGGACTATAGTACAATCTATAGTACGGATTACAGTCCAAACTATGGTCTAGCCTATTAAACTTATTAGAAGTCCTTTGTAGGGCTTCCTAAAGACTGAAATAGTCTCCCAAATATATTTTAAACCAGTAAATAAAACGCAATGTTTTCAATTGCTAAAAGACATATGAAATTAAAGACGCAGTCCCGGGGCAAAAGAAAAATGTTGCTTTTTTTCTACAAAAAAAAAAAAAAGAATACTTACATACATATTATTGCTTATCTTGTCAAAGAAGGCAAATGTATAAGTAAGTACTTTATTAATGTAAAAAATATCTAAGTAATATACGAAATACATTGTATATGTATTTGTTTTAAAGTTCTCGATAAAGATAAACGCACCAAATACAACTTATACTCATAAATTCTTGCATAAATGTATCCTTTGGATACAATTTCCTTTTTATCTCTTTCTCTTCAATTTTTTGTACACATTTTTATTTGTGCGTGTTTTTTTGCAATCAAATAAGAAATAAAAGAAAAAACTAAAACAAAATGTGTTTTACTTAAATACACACCTAAATATCATCATCCTGTCTAGACAATGAAACTAAACTAAAAGTATCTAATTATCTGTGAATTTTATATACTTAAATACGCACGCAAATTTTTGTTTTGTTGTTTAATGCTACAGCATGTAAATGAAATTTTAGATATTTTTTTTGTCTTTGTGTATAAATTTTATGTTTCTAAAGAAAGCAGTCCACAAGTGATATTTAATACTTTTTTCGTACTTTTTTTTTATTGGTTTTACTTTTAACACTATAGTTGATTTTTATTATAATGTTATGTTAAGAAAGAAAAAAATTGTGGTTTCCAATAGGCGTATGTTAACGGTGGGGAAAAAGTGTTGGCATAATTAATTATTGACAGGGTCGTGTTGGGGGTATGAAACATGGAAAGGGGTTGTTGAGATGGTGATATATGACTCAGCAAATGTTGTTAATCACTAACTGTTAAAAAGAAATTTAATAAACCCCAAATTGAATATATTAATAGTTAAGAAATGAGTATATGTACCTAGTTAAACAAAACAAGTGAGAGTGTTATATTCGGCTGTGCCGAATCTCATATACCCACCATCGAACAGTATGTCTAGTCGATAGTCTAGTCTATAGTCTAGTCTATAGTCTAGTCGATAGTCTAGTTTATAGTCTAGTCTATAGTCTAGTCTATAATCTAGTCTATAGTCTAGTCTATAGTCTAGTCTCTAGTCTAGTCTATAGTCTAGTCTATAATCTAGTCTATAGTCTAGTCTATAGTCCAGTCTATAGTCTAGTCTATAGTCTAGTCTATAGTCTAGTCTATAATCTAGTCTATAGTCTAGTCTATAGTCTAGTCTATAGTCTAGTCTATAGTCTAGTCTATAGTCTAGTCTATAGTCTAGTCTATAGTCTAGTCTATAGTCTAGTCTATAGTCTAGTCTATAGTCTAGTCTATAGTCTAGTCTATAGTCTAATCTATAGTCTAGTCTATAGTCTAGTCTATAGTCTAGTCTATAGTCTAGTCTATAGTCTAGTCTATAGTCTAGTGTATAGTAGTAGTCTAGTCTAGTTATATAGTCTAGTCTAGTCTCTAGTCTAGTCTAGTCTATAGTCTAGTCTAGTCGTCTAGTCTAGTCTATAGTCTAGTCTAGTCTATAGTCTAGTCTAGTCTATAGTCTAGTCTATAGTCTAGTCTAGTCTAGTCTAGTCTAGTCTATAGTCTAGTCTAGTCTATAGTCTAGTCTATAGTCTACTCTATAGTCTAGTCTATAGTCTATAGTCTACTCTATAGTCTAGTCTATAGTCTAGTCTATAGTCTAGTCTATAGTCTAGTCTATAGTCTAGTCTATAGTCTAGTCTATAGTCTAGTCTATAGTCTAGTCTATAGTCTAGTCTATAGTCTAGTCTATAGTCTAGTCTATAGTCTAGTCTCTATAGTCTAGTCTATAGTCTAGTCTATAGTCTAGTCTATAGTCTAGTCTATAGTCTAGTTTATAGTCTAGTCTATAGTCTAGTCTATAGTCTAGTCTATAGTCTAGTCTATAGTCTAGTCTAGCCTATAGTCTAGTCTATAGTCTAGTCTAGCCTATAGTCTAGTCTATAGTCTAGTCTAGCCTATAGTCTAGTCTATAGTCTAGTCTAGCCTAGTCTAGTCTATAGTTTAGTCTATAGTCTAGTCTATAGTTTAGTCTATAGTCTAGTCTATAGTCTAGTCTATAGTCTAGTCTATAGTCTAGTCTATAGTCTAGTCTATAGTCTAGTCTATAGGCTAGTCTATAGGCTAGTCTATAGGCTATAGGTCTAGTCTATAGTCTAGTCTATAGTCTAGTCTATAGTCTAGTCTATAGTCTAGTCTATAGTCTAGTCTATAGTCTAGTCTATAGTCTAGTCTATAGTCTAGTCTAGTTAGTCTAGTCTAGTTAGTCTAGTCTATAGTCTAGTCTATAGTCTAGTCTATAGTCTAGTCTATAGTCTAGTCTATAGTCTAGTCTATAGTCTAGTCTATAGTCTAGTCTATAGTCTAGTCTAGTCTATAGTCTAGTCTATAGTCTAGTCTATAGTCTAGTCCTAGTCTAGTCTATAGTCTAGTCTATAGTCTAGTCTATAGTCTAGTCTATAGTCTAGTCTATAGTCTAGTCTATAGTCTAGTCTATAGTCTAGTCTATAGTCTAGTCTATAGTCTAGTCTATAGTCTAGTCTATAGTCTAGTCTATAGTCTAGTCTATAGTCTAGTCTATAGTCTAGTCTATAGTCTAGTCTATAGTCTAGTCTATAGTCTAGTCTATAGTCTAGTCTATAGTCTAGTCTATAGTCTAGTCTATAGTCTAGTCTATAGTCTAGTCTATAGTCTAGTCTATAGCTAGTCTAGTAGTCTATAGTCTAGTATATAGTCTAGTCTATAGTCTAGTCTAGCTAGTCTAGTCTATAGTCTAGTCTATAGTCTAGTCTATAGTCTAGTCTATAGTCTAGTCATAGTCTAGTCTATAGTCTAGTCTACAGTCTAGTCTAGTCTAGTCTAGTCTAGTCTATGTCTAGTCTATAGTCTAGTCTATAGTCTAGTCTATAGTCTAGTCTATAGTCTAGTCCATAGGCTAGTTCATAGTCTATAGTCTAGTCTATAGTCTAGTCTATAGTAGTCTATAGTCTAGTCTATAGTCTAGTCTATAGTCTAGTCTATAGTCTAGTCTATGTCTAGTCTATAGTCTAGTCTATAGTCTACGTTCATTAGTCTAGCTCTAGTTAGTTTCTATCGTCTAGTCTATAGTTCTAGTCTAATCGTCTATCTTAGTCATAGTCTAGTCTCTAAGTTCTAGTCTAGTTCTAGTCTAGTCTATAGTCTAGTCTATAGTCTAGTCTATAGTCTAGTCTATAGTCTAGTCGTATAAGGTCTAGTCTATAGTCTAGTCTATAGTCTAGTCTATAGTCTCGTCTATGTCTAGTCTATAGTCTAGTCTATAGTCTAGTCTATTAGTCTAGGTCTATAGTATAGTCTATCGTCTAGTCTATAGTCTAGTCTATAGTCTAGTCTATAGTCTAGTCTATAGCTAGTCTATAGTCTAGTCTATAGTCTAGTCTTTAGACTAGTCTATAGTTCAGTTTACAGCCTTGACTATAGTCTAGTCTATAGTCAGGACTATATTCTAGTTTGTAATCTGGATTCTGAGGTAATTTCGAGTAATGTCTGGATATAAATAATTTATTTTCAAGACTTACTTTAAAAACAAGCAACTATGTTTCTAATTGCAACAATAAATCATAAATAACTTTCCAACTTTTCTTACATTTTCAGCAGTTATTTTTAAAAAATCAATTAAGTTTTCAAACCCAGACAACCATTTACTGACAAACACGTTTTATATATAAAAACAAAAACAAACTGAAAAAATTATATTTAACAAAACAACAAGAAATAAGTAACAAAACATCCTGCGCGTGCACGTATTTAAAGCACACCCAAAACCTATTAATTTGTCAAATGCTAAAAACACACAACAACACTAAGAAAAGAAACAAATTCTTAGCAGTCTACACAGAATCCTACTAAATAAGCACCAAGTGGGCGTATAAAAAAAAACAACAGAAATTAGAGAATCTATATAAGAAAAATCATGTTAAAGTATTTTTATATATAGAGTCCTTAAAGAAAAAAACAAGAACAATTTAAGCTTTTGGCACTAAATCCCTTTCTACAGATGTATGTATGTAGGTGTTTGGGTGGAAATACTTTTTCATATAATGATTTTACTTTAAGAGGAAATTGTGGAAAAAGTTTTCAGTGTGAGAGTTTGATATGCCTGCTCTTTATGTTTTTAATAAGTTCAAGTGCTTCTTTAGTTTGTTGTTGTTGTTTTTCGTTGTGGTTGTTGTTTTTGTTGGGGTTGTTTTCTTTGGTTTTTAAAAAAGACAACAAACGTGATGATATATACACATAAATGGCAGACATCGACGTCTATCTGGTGACCTTCAACTTTTATTTTCGGGGGTTTGTTATAAGTTTGTATGTGTGTATAAGTGTGTATGTAAATGTTAAGCATGTCTGCCTTGACTACATAAACTTTGACATCTATGTATGTACTTAACTAGGTATATAGAAGTATGTATGTATTAGCAGACTTTCTTTGTTCATAAAAATTTCGTCCTTGAGGGAAAATTTTTATTGTTTTTGCTAAGCTTTTAAAGGTCTTTATCCTGTGGGTGGTTTTGTACACAAACAACTTAAGCTAAACATCACTTTTACGCATTAATACACACACACTTGCACATCCATTCACAAACTTTTGCTCCCTGCTAGACATTTTGGCAAAAAAATATAGAAAATTTGCTTTGTTTTAACAAATTGAAGTTGTTTTGGTTTAATTTTCTAAACAGCAAATCACACAAAAGCTATTAATTTAAATAAAAAAGCTTCAACCAAAAAAAAGCTTTCTAATAACAGCGCCCTCTATTATCAATAGATAACACTACAAACAAAAGCTTTTTGTAACTGTTAATTTACATTTTCTTTTCCCTCTACTGCTTAAGTACACAAATATTGCTGTATATCTCAAAATCCTCGATAGTATAGTGGTCAGTATCCCCGCCTGTCACGCGGGAGACCGGGGTTCAATTCCCCGTCGGGGAGATCGTTAAAATTTTTTCTATTTTTTAAAGAAATTTTCTATTTCTACAAAAAGTTTCATTATTTTAATTCAAAACTTTTCGTTTCCCCAAAATGTATCCCCCAAAGTCCCCTAAATGTCTTAAACTAGGCAGATATTTAGTAAAAAACTTTCACTCACCTGTTTTACCATTCGGACTAAATGGATCATAACTGCCCGCTGACATAGGTGATGCATAGCCATTTGACATATTGGCGCCATACATGTGATTTTGCGATGCTGAAGATGGACTTAATGGTGCTGTGCTGGGTACACTGCCAGGACTAGGAGTTGATATCCATTCTTCTCTTCTGTAAGGAAAAACAGGAATATGGAAAACTTTCCCTATAGAAAGAAGTATACAGAAAAGAGCATAGAATGTATGTCCATAGTCTATTCTATAGTCTAGTCTATAATCCAGTCTATAGTCTAGTCTATGTTTTTATCTGAAGTCTAGTCTATAAGCTCATCCATTGTCTAGTGCCTAGTTAATTCTATAGCCTCGTTCCATAGTCTAGTTCGTAGTCTAATCTATAGTCTAGTCTATAGTCTAGTCTATAGTCTAGCCTATAGTCTTGCCTATAGTCTAGCCTATAGTCTAGCCTATAGTCTAGCCTATAGTCTAGTATATAGTCCAGTCTATAGTCTAGTCTATAGTCTAGTCTATAGTCTAGTCTATAGTCTAGTCTATAGTCTAGTCTATAGTCTAGTCTATAGTCTAGTCTATAGTCTAGTCTATAGTCTAGTCTATAGTCTAGTCTATAGTAGCCTAGTCTAGTCTATAGTCTAGTCTATAGTCTAGTCTATAGTTCTAGTCTATAGTCTAGTCTATAGTCTAGTCTATAGTCTAGTCTATAGTCTAGTCTATAGTCTAGTCTATAGTCTAGTCTATAGTCTAGTCTATAGTCTAGTCTATAGTCTAGTCTATAGTCTAGTCTATAGTCTAGTCTATAGTCTAGTCTATAGTCTAGTCTATAGTCTAGTCTATAGTCTAGTCTATAGTCTAGTCTATAGTCTAGTCTATAGTCTAGTCTATAGTCTAGTCTATAGTCTAGTCTATAGTCTAGTCTATAGTCTAGTCTATAGTCTAGTCTATAGTCTAGTCTATAGTCTAGTCTATAGTCTAGTCTATAGTCTAGTCTATAGTCTAGTCTATAGTCTAGTCTATAGTCTAGTCTATAGTCTAGTCTATAGTCTAGTCTATAGTCTAGTCTATAGTCTAGTCTATAGTCTAGTCTATAGTCTAGTCTATAGTCTAGTCTATAGTCTAGTCTATAGTCTAGTCTATAGTCTAGTCTATAGTCTAGTCTATAGTCTAGTCTATAGTCTAGTCTATAGTCTAGTCTATAGTCTAGTCTATAGTCTAGTCTATAGTCTAGTCTATAGTCTAGTCTATAGTCTAGTCTATAGTCTAGTCTATAGTCTAGTCTATAGTCTAGTCTATAGTCTAGTCTATAGTCTAGTCTAGTCTAGTCTATAGTCTAGTCTATAGTCTAGTCTATAGTCTAGTCTATAGTCTAGTCTATAGTCTAGTCTATAGTCTAGTCTATAGTCAAGTCTATAGTCTAGTCTATAGTCTAGTCTATAGTCTAGTCTATAGTCTAGTCTATAGTCTAGTCTATAGTCAAGTCTATAGTCAAGTCTATAGTCTAGTCTATAGTCTAGTCTATAGTCTGTCTATAGTCTAGTCTATAGTCTAGTCTATAGTCAAGTCTATAGTCTAGTCTATAGTCTAGTCTATAGTCTAGTCTATAGTCTAGTCTATAGTCTAGTCTATAGTCTAGTCTATAGTCTAGTCTATAGTCTAGTCTATAGTCTAGTCTATAGTCTAGTCTATAGTCTAGTCTATAGTCTAGTCTATAGTCTAGTCTATAGTCTAGTCTATAGTCTAGTCTATAGTCTAGTCTATAGTCTAGTCTATAGTCTAGTCTATAGTCTAGTCTATAGTCTATTCTATAGTCTAGTCTATAGTCTATTCTATAGTCTAGTCTATAGTCTAGTCTATAGTCTAGTCTATAGTCTAGTCTATAGTGTAGTCTATAGTCTATTCTATAGTCTATTCTATAGTCTAGTCTGTAGTCTAGTCTATAGTCTAGTCTATAGTCTAGTCTATAGTCTAGACTATAGTCTAGTCTATAGTCTAGTCTATAGTCTAGTCTATAGTCTAGTCTATAGTCTAGTCTATAGTCTAGTCTATTGTCTAGTCTATAGTCTAGTCTGTAGGAAAACTTGATCAGATTCTGATCACTCTTTTCTATAGGAAATTATTGATCAGATTCTGATCGCTCCTTTTCATAGAAAATGATTGATCAGTTTCTGATCACTTTTTTCTATAGAAAAATTTGATCAGATTATGATCACTCTTTCCTATAGGCAAAGTTGATCAGATTCGGATCACTCTTTTCTATAGGAAAAGTTTATCAGACTCTGATCACTCTGTTCTAAAGGAAAAGTTGATCATATTCTGATCACTCTTTTCTATAGGAAAAGTTTATCAGATTCTGATCACTCTTTTCTAAAAGAAAAGTTGATCAGATTCTGATCACTCTTTTCTATAGGAAAAGTTGATCAGATCTGATCACTGGTTTAAAAGCAAAATAAAATTTCTTCTACTTACAATTCCATACGCGCTCTTTTTGATGGCACAAATACCATACTGCCATTTGAAGTAGTCAATGCCTCTCCACCACCACCAGCCACTGAGCCAGCAGCAGCAGCACTGACCACACCAACACCAGCAGAAACACTACCACCACTACTACCCGCTCCAGCAGCAAGAGCCACTTGTGTTATGGCATTACTTAAGGCTGAAGTAGAAACATTTTTCAAAACATTAGCTTTAACCGAAGACATTGTTGTGATAGAGGAGGAGGAGGATGAAGAGGCAGCAGCATTAGCTGAAGAGGCAGGTATGACAACATTGGCCAACGCTGAACAGGCAGCTAAACTTATAAGATCTTCCTTATTAGTGCTGCTGGTGCTGAGATTGCTGGCATTATGATGGTTGTTATGATTGCTGTTGGCGGAGTTAAGATCGTGTGGCAAAGGTTCCGATTTAATGGCAGTCTTTAAAAGCTTTAAATTCTCTTCCATGGAAGAATTAGAGGACAAAACATCCACTTGATTGGCAGCAGCCGCAGAGGCAGCCACCAAAGCGGCAGCTGCTGCAGCATTAGTAATGACCAGATTATTGGCTGCAGTAGAGTGTATGAGACGTGAGTGATTGGGCGGTGTTGCTGGTGTTTGATGTGTGTGTGTATGATGTTGATGTATGGTATGAAGTAGTGCTGAGGTGGAGGTGCTGCTGGCATTAGAGGCCTGTCTTAAGGCTAGAGGTGTATTAGATTCATGTTCAGTAAAATTATTTAGAAAAACAGGCTCATTGTTGGAGTGATGACCACTGTGAGAGGTGGAGGTGGTGTTGCTGGAAGAGCTGCTGGCATTCGCTGAGGCAGCATCCAACTGTTGTTGCAACAATATATGACTGGGTATTATTTGTTGTTGCTGCGACTGTGTAGGAGTAGGAGGTGTTGTTTGTGGTGTTGTCGTCGGCTGCTGCTGTGGGTGTTGTTGCGGTAGCTGTTGCTGTTGTTCAGCAGCCATGGGCAACTTTTGTCCTTGCGCATGATTTAGCCGGTACATCATCGGTGATAAATTCATTATCCTATTTAAAGGCAAGGTTTTCTTTTTCTCTTCTTGTTTGTTTTTGTTGCAAAAGTTGCTTCCTTTTATTTGTGTGTTTGTTGGACTCTTGTGTTTGTGTGTGTTTTTTCAAAGTGTTCGTTTACATTTTTATATTGTAGAGAGTGTCGAAGTAACGTTGCCCGTTATTTCGGCACCATTTTGTTCTTTTTTTCGTTTTTTTTTTTTTTTGTTTGTGTTCTCTTACTCTCGGCTGGTTAGAATCTCTTTAACCTTGCCTGCTCTAAATGACCCAATTTGCTTCAACGACCGCACAATGATGATGACGTTGTCCACCATTAAAACCAACCAGAACACAAACGTGTTGGACATTTATTGAGTTTAATAATAATGCAAAAATGTTTAACTGGAATTTAAAAAGAAACAAAATTTAAATAAATAAAAAAAATCAATGCTTAAGTGTTTAAAAGGAGCGGCATTAGCAAAGCAACCGAGCATTTATAAGAATTCAAACCTTTCAGTCACCTTTTAATAAGTTTAATCTTTTTCAGTTCCTATTGTATAATTTGAATGTCATAGAAAAGCACCAACAACAAAAACAGAATGCATAAGAATTCTTTTTGTTTTTGTCATACATTGACCTACTTTAGTGTCACTATGACGAAAAGGGTTTTAGGAAAAGAGAGGCCAACAACCACTAGGGGTTGAATGTCAATTATTTGCCAAGCTACCAGATGTTTTAGTTAAATACAAATATGAATCATATTTTTCCAAAAAAAATTTACAAAACCAATACAAATAATTGTTTAACGTACCCCCGAACTAAATTCTTTCTATATAGTAATTTGTTTCTGGGTCAATAATCTGTAGATAAGGCTTTTCTTTAAATAAACATATTTTTTTTATAAATTTAATTGTTAATAAATTTTATTATCTTCTAATCCCTGCGAATTATTTCGATTTATAGAATTAGCACATATAGCCTCCGTGGCGCAATTGGCTAGCGCGTTCGGCTGTTAACCGAAAGGTTGGTGGTTCGAGCCCACCCGGGGGCGCATAACTTTTTTTGGATTTCTTTTACAATTGTTTTTAATAAAATTGTTTAACAAAAACTAATTAAAATAGTTAAGATTAGTTTAGTCTATAGTCTAGTCTATAGTCTAGTCTATAGTCTAGTCTATAGTCTAGTCTATAGTCTAGTCTATAGTCTAGTCTATAGTCTAGTCTATAGTTTAGTCTATAGTCTAGTCTATAGTCTAGTCTAGTCTAGTCTATAGTCTAGTCTATAGTCTAGTCTATAGTCTAGTCTATAGTCTAGTCTATAGTCTAGTCTATAGTCTAGTCTATAGTCTAGTCTATAGTCTAGTCTATAGTCTAGTCTATAGTCTAGCCTATAGTCTAGTCTATAGTCTAGTCCAGTCTATAACCTAGTCTATAGTCTAGTCTATAGTCTAGTCTATAGTCTAGTCTATAGTCTAGTCTATAGTCTAGTCTATAGTCTAGTCTATAGTTTAGTCTATAGTCTAGTCTATAGTCTAGTCTATAGTCTAGTCTATAGTCTAGTCTATAGTCTAGTCTATAGTCTAGTCTATAGTTTAGTCTATAGTCTAGTCTATAGTCTAGTCTATAGTCTAGTCTATAGTCTAGTCTATAGTCTAGTCTATAGTCTAGTCTATAGTCTAGTCTATAGTCTAGTCTATAGTCTAGTCTATAGTCTAGTCTATAGTCTAGTCTATAGTCTAGTCTATAGTCTAGTCTATAGTCTAGTCTATAGTCTAGTCTATAGTCTAGTCTATAGTCTAGTCTATAGTCTAGTCTATAGTCTTGTTTATAGTCCAGTCTATAGTCCAGTTTATAGTCCATTCAGTTTATAGTCTAGTCTTTAGACTAATCTTTAGTCTAGTCAATAGTGTAATCCATAGTTTAGTTTGTAGTCTAGTCTTTACTATAGTCTGAATTAAACTTTTAAATTTTTTTCGTTTATGTTAAAATTCTTAAAATAAAATAGTCAAAGTAATATGAAACATTTTGTTTTTAATTATTTTAATTAACTGGATTTTACGCAATTATTGTAATATATGAAAGCATCAGCTAACAAGTGGTCCTGTGGCGCAATGGATAACGCGTCTGACTACGGATCAGAAGATTCCAGGTTCGACTCCTGGCAGGATCGAAATGAGCATTTTTTTTTATAAAAAAAACTTGTTAACAATTTTATAACAAATCTTGTATAAAAATTAAAAAAAGAATTTCGTTTAGAAGCTGTAAGTAATCGGGAATTTTTTTCTATAATTAGTTCCAAAATAGTCTAAATATGTAGTATCTTATTTCGAACTTTGACCAGAATTGTGAATTATAATAATTGTTGCTTTTTTTTCTTGAAACTGAAATTTTAATGAAAAAAAGTTGTGCGCCCCCGGGTGGGCTCGAACCACCAACCTTTCGGTTAACAGCCGAACGCGCTAGCCAATTGCGCCACGGAGGCCAGGTGAAAGTGGAGAAAATATTAGCGGTTATAAATTGTGATATTTAAATGACCCTAGAACAGAAGTTATTAGAGTAAAAAATTTCTTAGTTTTGTAATAGTCAAGATCCGCAATTTGTCGGAAAACATATGATATGATCATTTTTATAGAATAGTCCAATTCAGAATCAGTAGACCCTATTAAAGTTATAGTTATAATCTTATATTATCCTGGGGACTATAGGTACTATAAGTTATAGTAGTAGAACCGCTTTTATAGTATCGAAATTATGATTCGATTGAAATATTAAAAAGTATTTTATGACAACCCGGTTTAATTTTGTTTAAAAATAATCAAAAAGAAAAACGCTTTAACGATTGAACATGTGGCAACTTTCGACAGTTAAAAACAGCAAAACAAACACAAGAAAATATAAATGAAGAGATATAAGAGAGAGTTTCATAGATAGAGTAGAAGTATAGTATTTGCTAAACACCAACACATGGCCTCCGTGGCGCAATTGGCTAGCGCGTTCGGCTGTTAACCGAAAGGTTGGTGGTTCGAGCCCACCCGGGGGCGCACAACTTTTTTTTTTAATATTTTTGAAAATAAAATTTTTAAACTAATGGATAAAATCTTCTATATTAAGTTTCTCAGTTCTTTTGTTAACTATAGTTTTTCCCTTAAAAATCATTTGGAACTATAGTTTCAATTACAGTTTGTTTTCATTTTCATAGTTAACCTACAGCTCCAGTGAAATTAACACTATGCTGCCGCAGATCACATGGCCTCCGTGGCGCAATTGGCTAGCGCGTTCGGCTGTTAACCGAAAGGTTGGTGGTTCGAGCCCACCCGGGGGCGCATAACATTTTTTTTCCTATTTTTTCTTAAATTATTTAATTTTAAAATTAACATACATCATTCATTATTCGAATAATTTTAATCGATTAACCGGATAATTTCAAAGTATTTTTTAAACGATTATTCGTAAAATAGTGAATTTTGTTAACATTATTAGTTTTAGCAAAAAATCAACTATTTAAACAAATTTCAAAAAACTTTTAATCGATTAACCGTTTAAGTCGAAACGATTATTCGGATAATTTCAAACGATTATTCGTAAATTTTATATAAATATTTTCACAATATAAACTAATCCATTATTTTTAACTTTTCTCATAATGATAAACGATTAATCGGTTAACTTTTTACGATTATTCGAATAATTTTAATCTAAACTATTATAAATAAAATATATTTGATTATTCGGATAATTTTAACCGATTATTCGAATAATTTATATCGTTTATTAACAAAAACTATAATTTTTAATCTAAATAATTACATAAAATATATTCGATTACTCGATTAATTTTAACCAATTATTCGAATAATTGTAAATGATTATTAAATTAATTTTATTTGTTTTTTTTTTTGTCAAAAACTGTTATTTCTTAATTTAAACGATTATTCACTAACATTTATTCGATTATTTGGATGATTTTATTCGTTTATTCGAATAATTTCACTCTATTATTCGTTTAATTTTATTCGTTTATTCACAAAAACTGTAATTTTTTAATCTAAACAATTATCACATAAAATCTAATCGATTATTCGAATAATTTCATTCGTTTATTCGAATAATTTTAAACGATTATTCGATTAATTTTATTCCTTTATTAAGAAAATCTGTTATTTTTTAACCTAAACGATTATAACATAAAATCTAATAGATTATTCGGATAATTTTATTCGGTTATTCGCATAATTTAAATCGTTTATTCGATTAATTTTATTCTTTTATTAAAAAAACAGTAATTTTTTAATCTAAACGATTATCACATAAAATATAATCGATTACTCGAATAATTTTATTCGGTTATTCGAATAATTTTGAACGATCATTCGATTAATTTTATTCCTTTATTAAGAAAAACTGTTATTTTTTAACCTTAACGATTATAACATAAAATCAAATCGATTATTCGGATAATTTTATTCGGTTATTCGAATAATTTTAAGCGATTATTCGATTAATTTTATTCGTTTATTCACAAAAACTGTTATTTCTTAATTTAAGTGATTATCCACTAAAATTTATTCGAATATTTGGTTCATTTTATTCGAATAATTTAAATCGTTTATTCGATTCATTTTATTCGTTTATTCCCAAAAACTGTTTTTTTAATCTAAACTATTATCACATAAAATCTAAACGATTATTCGAATAATTTTTTCGCTTATTCGAATAATTTCACTAGATTATTCGAATAATTTTAACCGATTATTCGTTTAATTTTATTCCTTTATTAACATAACTTGTTAATTTTTAATGTAAACGATTAGCACATAAAATCCAATCGATTATTCGAATAATTTTATTCGATTATTCGAATAATTTTAACCGATTATTCGTTCAATTTTATTTCTTTATTAACAGAACTTGTTAATTTTTAATCTAAGCGATTACCACATAATATATTTCATTATTCGGATAATTTTATTCGGTTCTTCGGATAATTTGATTCGGCTATTCGGATAATTTCATTCGTTTATTCGGATAATTTATTCGTTTTTAACAAAAACTTTTATTTTTTAATCTAAACGATTATCACATAAAGTGTATTCAATTATTCGGATAATTTTATTCGATTAATCGAATAATTTTATTCGGTTACTTAATTTTTTTTTTTTTTTGCTTTTTTATCTGTTTTAACTATTATTTAGAGATATTTAAGAAATATTTTTAGTTTTCTACGTTTATTCGTTTAGTTTTCTTACAGCTTATTCTCACACTATGATGCTTTGGCCTTTAAGTTTGGCATGCGAGTTGGTTTGTTAACAAATTTTTTTAAGAATTTTGTTTTACTTTTTATAGAATTTTTATGTTTTATGTTTCTAAATCTTAGAATTTAGTTAATTCTTTTAGTTTTGGAAC